ATGAATCTAAAGTTGTAGGAAATATTCTTACAACTTGTTCATCTTCTTCTTCTTCTCCTTCTGACTTTGAGCCCAATAGTAGAAGAGAAAAGTTTTTTTATTTAATAAGTAGAAGGTAGAAATCTGCTAGTTCTACAATAAGTTCATTTTTTTAACTTAATTTTTATTTGCAAGCAAATTTTTCTAATTTAGGTGAAGTATCAAATAATTTTGATATTTTAGCCTGGTTGAGTGAACACTCGAAAAATTATCCAGTTCTCGCTGTCATGGAACTTGATGTACTAACTCCTTCGGTGTCTACAATTCCATCGGAGTCTTGTTTTAGTGAACGATGAGAGCATAGAGATATGCATCTGTTTCAAGGATTGGCTGGATGTAGAAGATAGATTATAAGACAAGGGAGGGCATGATACAACACTGGACATTTCACCCGAAGCAGATGATGAAAGTCATGAATGATGATTCATGAATTCGACTACTTGTAGAATTTTTCATTTCTTCAAGTATGCAATGATCCAATCATTGTATTTGTAATTCACTAATTTGTACCATTCAAATTTAAATGAAATAAAATTCCTATTTTTCTTCCAATTGTCATTCCATCATTCTTATTTCAATTTGGTTAAGTATTTTTTTTTTCATTTATGTATTAAATAACTTAGATTTCTCATTTCTTAATTTTTTAAATAGTTCATAATTCCCAAAGTTCATAGGAAAGTTAAATATTTTAGTTTTACAATTTTACTTAGAAAAGAAATCAAAATTTTCAAAAAAATAAAAACATGAAAAAAAAATAGTACAGCCCGGTTAGGCCTAGGCCCAAGGCCCAAGCTCACGACATGGCCGGCCTGGCCCAGGCCAGCGTGCCGACACGACATGGCATGGGCCTGCCTGGGCCTGGGCCGTGGGCCGTGCTGGGCCGACCCCCAAAATTTCCACCAGGGAGGATGGCATAGCCCACCTTTAAGGCGGGCCGCCCACGGGCTGTGTCATGTCGGCTTGGCACGACCCACTTTACACCTCTAGTTACCCCCCCGATGCCCATGAGTTCTCCTTTGGACTGCCGATATTAAACTTATTCATGTTGTCATAAGTAGTCTGAGATGTTCTCAATGATTGGAAACATGTTTTCTTCTTAACTTGGCAACACACAGACACAATCACTCATTTATAAGGTCTTGGACAAGATGCCTTCATATACGGGCTGCTTCTTCTTTAGGCCCCGTCTACTTTTTGGGAAGTTACTTATCTCGGTTTCCAAAAAAAAAAAGATAATGACCATTTTAGTCATAGAATGTCATCATTAAAAGAAGCAATTTTGTCTAATTTAAGTGATGACAACTTTTCTTTTAATTGAGAAAGTTAGGCCTTGTTAGGCAACGTTCCGTGATAACGTTTCTATCATTCCCGGTATTCTCGTGGAGCAAGAACGTGTTTGATACAAAAAAAAATAAAAGAAACAAGCTACTCTCGCATGAGAACAACATCCAAAGAACACGTTCTTTGGGAGTGATAAATCGACACTCTCAAAGAACGTGTCCCCAGAGAGCATGCGGTTCTCACAATGTTAAGGCATATTAATGAACGCATGCCATCGATTCCCATGTGAGAGAAGGGGTATGTTTGGAAATTCATGCTGAATGATAGAAATAATCCCTAAGTTCCTATTTGGCAACATTCCGCGAGAACGTTTCACGTATTCCCAATGTTCTCACGGAGCATAAATGCATTTGGTACAAGAAAACACAAAAAAAGGTGTTCTTGCATGAGAACAACACCCAAACGCATTCTTTGGGAGTGAAAAGTTGACTCTCCCAAAGAATGTGTTCCCAGGGGATGTGTGGTTCCCACGACATTAACCCCTATAAATGATAGAAATAAGCCCTACCAAACATTTTCGTTTGACAGTGAACTCCTCCAACTTACCGCAACAAATCTAGAGGAAGGAGGGACTCCCTTGGCTCCAATAAGATGCGCAAGCGAACGATAGAAAGCACCGACAACATTTCTAGCCAGGAACACATCAACAGGTATGTTGTCTCGTCACCATATTTGGTTTTGTATCGTGTTTCTATTTTAAACTCACATTTTCTCCAATCAGATTCACCTGAAATCGTTTTTACTCCCACTGCAAAGATGAGTTTTAAACA